TTTCAAGGAGAAGAAAATGATCCCAAGGTAGTATCAAGTTTGAAACAGCAGTGGTTGGGATTCTATGAGCAAAAGGGACAAAATTTACAATGAAGGTACAAGAGACGAGTTTGGAAATTGATTCTCACTTTTTTAGCCCTCCCTTTGTTTTGTGTTCACATACTTCCTTTTTTTCTGAGGTTCTCAAACGAAAACAAAACATAGGCTCTGCAACAGTTGAAGGAGCTTTTGAATTCTTTCTAAAGAGGAAATTGACTTTACCTAACCAATGGACTTCCTGTGTGTGCTGTATCCGCTAAAGAGCAAGACAGTATCTCGGCAGCGTAGCGCTCAACTGCAGAATTTCCTCTTGGTTGTTCGAAATGTATTACAGCGCTCTGACACAAGGTCTTCATTTATTCTGGTATCTGTAATGTGTATACAAAGCACCTGGGGTCCTGTTAAAAATATAGGTTCTGAGGGAGGAAGGAAAAAGAAAATTCACGTTCTGATTTAGCAGTTCTGGGTGGGGCCTGAGATTCTGAATTTCTAACAGTATCCCAGGGGATGTGTTAAAATTATAAGCTATTCTCTCTCTGGTTCTTTTAGAAAGTTCTTTGAAAGCAAACGTGATTAACTGCATTTTCACTCAACAGCATTTGTTTGCCAGGTTCTATGTAGATGAGGGCCCAGTTTGCAAAGATCTTATAGCTCAATGGTGAGCTGAATCAAGTACAATTTGGGTTTATGGGCTTTCTTTCTTTCTTTTTTTAAAATGGCTTGGATTTATTTCACAGAAGTTCTTTGGTAACTACAGAAATTAGTTAACAATTAATTTAGAATTTCTCTTTGGGATTTAAAGAATTATTTTACTAACTGTACAAATATTATTATAACTGCATTAATGTCAAATGTAGATAAAAGGGCCAGATGAGGTGGCTCATGCCTGTAATCCCGGTACTTTGGGAGGCTGAGGCAGCGGATCACCGGAGATCAGGAGTTCAAGACCAACCTGGCCAACATGGTGAAACCCTGTCTTTACTAAAAATACAAAAATTAGCCAGGTGTGGTGGCACATGCCTATAATACCAGCTACTCAGGAGGCTGAGGCAGGAGAATCTCTTGAACCCAAGATGCAGAGGTTGCAGTGAGCTGAGATCGTGCCACTGTACTCCAGCCTGGGCGACAAGAGTGAAACTCCGTCTCAAAAAAAATAAAAAGGAGAGAAAATTGTTTCTATGATCTGTCCACCCAGTAAATCAGACTGTTCTTTTTCTGTTGTAGTCCTTGGCCATGGGCATTTTTTGTTTTTACATGGTCATGAACATTGCTGGAAAACAATATTGTATTCTGCCTTTTAAATTTAGAATTTACAGAATAAATATAAAGCTTTTAAATTTATTAACTATTGAAATATCTGTTATTCATATTTTTATATGTTCTTTCTTGGTGGACTTTTTTTACACTTTAAACTTCCTTGCTAAGAGAAAGTTAACAAAAGGGTTATGGTAATAAACAATATGTCATATGAAATTAAGATGATAGCCGGGCACGGTGGCTCACGCCTGTAATCCTAGCACTTTGGGAGGCTGAGATGGATGGATCACCTGAGGTCAGGAGTTCAAGACCAGCCTGGCCATCATGGTGAAACCCCATCTTTAAAAA